CAATTTTCAGGTCTAAATTATGCTGTCAGACAGCACAGGATTTCAGGGTGTGCGTGTTAGTGAATTTCCGTTATTACTTTTTTTAGCCTTGAAAATACCGTCCTATTACTCACTCCCTCCTTTTTCCCCCCTCTCCCTCCCCCCCCCCCCTCTCTCTCTCTCTCTCTCTCTCTCTCTCTCTCTCTCTCTCTCTCTCTCTCTCTCTCTCTCTCTCTCTCTCTCTCTCTCTCTCTCTCCGTCAGGGTGTATCGCCTTTCGCCGGCAGAAAGGTGTATTTGTGTAACAAATCTCTCGTGGGATTGACAGTAGTTTTAAATAAAAAATAAATAAATAAAATATGCAAGAAAGTGTCGATGTGGTCTGCAAAGGCGGGGGAGGGCTCGTTCGCCTTTGCAGCTCGGAGCACGTGGAGCGAAAGCTCGCGCTGCGGAACCCAGGGATCCCGGGCTAAAAATCCCCACCCCTACCCATTTAAATATATGAGGAACGTTAGACCCGTGCCACACGGGCAACTCGAATGCCATTTACAACGAATGACATTTGAGCGGACGGCCAATCAGCGCGCGACACTCCGGGCGTGGCGCGTTCCACGCGCGACAGATTGCGAGTGATTCGCCGATCACACAAATGTCATTCGTTGTAAAAGGCATTCGAGTTGCCCGTCTGGCACCGGTATAAGACTCCAGGCTAGCATTCGTACTGCACCGACCAAATATAGTGTCGCCGTGCTTCCAAGGCAGACCGACCATGTGCTGCCTGAACACTTTCGTTTTATTATTTTTTTATTATTATTATTTTGCGTGCAACGGAGGTGCGGTGAAACGAGAGGCAAACCATCCCCTCGACGAAATATAAAGACCGAAAAGCTCCGAATACGTCGATGAAATAAAGCCCGAAAAACAACCGCAAAAAGGTATAAACGGAAACACGAAACCCAAGTCATAATCACAGTTCAACGCCTCCATTATTTCGCAAGACGAGTACTACCGCTCCGACCAGAGTCAAAGACTACGATAAATTTAGAAACAACAAAGTTCGGGTAAGCTGTTCTAGCGAGTACACTCGAAAGTGATACAACCTACGATAATCAACTGTTTCTTGGTCACATAGGTACCAATGCACGCTCAATATATTTTTCTGCTGCTTCATTCGACTCATATTGTTCAGTCAATTAATTACACAGAATCGTCTATTCGATCATTTGACATGACACTCACTCCAGTTACACCTCGAAGGCTAATGCTTCACCAACATGTAAGTCAGAAAAGTTCTAAGCGGCAGTCTCGTTTTCTCGCCAATTCCCCAAAATTGTTTTATAGACCACGCGATTGTTTGTTCTTTGTATGTATTTCGCTTTCCCTTCTAATTTGAGAATGTCCTACGACAACTTGAGATTTTAGCATATGTCATCGAAGCCAACAAAACGGACATTATCGTGAATGCTGAATTGCGATATTCGGGAATATATCTTAGTCTAACAGTCGTGACGGAGAAGGGCTTACTTTTGACCACAGGATCAACTACGAAATAACACGTCACACTAACTATGACCGCGAATTGTTAATTCGAGAACTACCAATCTAACCTGTTGAACAGGTCTCGTCACTTGGGGTTATGAAACGTGTGTATAAAACGTGTGCAAATATGCGCGAAAAAAAAGAAAAGAAAAGAAAAAGAAGATAAAATTTACGTCGCCGTTTAGTCGGGCGAATCGCCTGTGACATCTCTCAAACGTTGCGGTCAGCTAAAGTTCATACACCTCGAGATTCAAATACTGCCGATTCGAAAATGAAAGAGATGATCGTGTGATAACGGACTCACCTTTGATAGATAAAGTCCAGCCCGATATCCCGAGCCCTGGCGTATTGCACCATAATCGAAAAGTGGAAAAACAACGGCAGGAATGGCGCGAAAAACAATTACGAAGATGGCAGCAGAACCAGCAGAACGAGAACTATCACATATACACACACAACAGTAACAACAAAAACCATACGCGGATGGCAACGCCATCTCGACGTTAATTAGTGAGCGAGTTTTGTGACGTCGTGGTTAAGTTTTGGTTACCTATAATCTTAACACGAATACCAACCAAAATGACGTTGAGGTCTGTTCATTATTAACGGTACGCCAGCATCATTATTTGTTCGTTTCTCGGCTTAGAAGTAAAACAGATGGTTCCAAAATCGAAACTAAGAGACACAAAATACCACCACTAAAGAAGGTAATTTATGGATGGTTGTGATTTGTGGGCTTTTCCTCTTCAATTTTTATAATTATATGTGTTGGGGTGGACAGTGCAGTGTCGCCTTAACGCTGTGAAAACATTGCAACATGAATCCATACCCAAATAATTCGCGCGCCATTACATTCCGTTTGTTTCATAAACGCACCGAAAGATGGCGGTAGCTTCCTCCCCGCCATAAACCCACCCCGCCGTCTACCCTATCGCCATCTACCACCATCTGTTATCTACCACCACCTGTAACCCTAAGACGTAGAAACACTGATCTCTATGACAATGTAAAAACAATACAAAAAAAAAGGATATAACAACGAAGTATGGATGTCATCACCAGATCGCCTGCGTGTTTTACCTTTCTTCGAAAGAGTTAAATTTCGGTTTCGTATTGAGCTCAGACGGTGCCTGTTGGTTTGCGTGGTTTTCATGTAGCTTTTCTTTTAGCATCGAGCTTGTAACTCATACTAGAGAAATTTAGTAGATCGTTGCGATACCTCCGCTAACGATAGCCGATAACGACACGACGCATGCGCAAAGGCGTTGGCGGAAAATCGACCAGAATAATTCCTGGAGAAGGCGAACAAGGGGGCAAAGGACAGACACATATCTCCAAGCACAGCTAGATGACTGGTGCGCGACCGAAAAAATCCGCCTCATTGTGTTTGGAGGTATGTTTTAGCGGTTTTAGTCCTTTGTCCCCGTCGCTCCCCTCCTCCAGGGATTACTTTCGTCATTCTTGTCCGGCTCGCTTGCAGCACTGATCTCCACTAGAGGGGGCTGGATGGCGCACTGAGGCTCTGCACTGAGGTAAAGCCCCTCGATGTGTTTACGTGTCTTGCAAGTAGCGTCAAATGCGCGAGCGCACGAGGCCCATGTCTCGAGCGGCCCTTGGAAGCAAATGGCGGTGCAGCACTGAAATGAGCGGCCCTTGGAAGCGAATGGCGGCGGAGCACGCGCTCGCGGCACGTGTCTCGCGCGTTTCCACAACAATGGTTGGCGGTACTTGTAAAAAAGGCCTTTATCAAGGGGCTTTACATTGAGGAAACAGGTATGAAGCCACCGGAAGTGAGCGGCTTGTCCTGGAAGTGAGCGCTTGGCAGGCTTTGTAACCCTTTCGAGTGCTGGTTCGAAAAGTGTCGAGGGCGCTGGATTTTCGCTTGCTCCCTCAACAGAGCCTGCTTGTTGCGCAGGAAGAGCGCATGCGGACCCGAGAAGTATCATGGGAGGCCATGCAATGAAAACATTTTAAGATTCTAGTTGATCAAATAGTGAATATGTCCCAAGTTCAAATGCCTCATTCTCGGGATTTAATCCAGAACGGGAGTATTAAAACCCAATCAAAGACACAAAAGAGCATGGTCCAAAATATCGACTGAATGCACTAGGAAGCCCAGCGCACGCCCGACTTCCGGGACAAGCACCGAACTTCCGGTGGCTTCACTTGCGCCGGGCTCGAAGAGCAGCTAAGCGTCATCAGTGGCTTGCACTTTTACATTTAATTGCATTATCATCATTACTAAAACTTCCTGATAGCGAACAAGAAAATGGCGCGAAATAATGCGGAATGTATTTTAGCGCGTTTTAATCTCTTCTCATCTAGCCCTATCTGGTGTACGGAAGCGGACGGAACTGCACTGTACGATATTGTACTGTAGTGGCTGTACTACAGTAGAGTGTCTATATTACAGAGTTTCCAACTGCTCGATTGGGATCACGTGGTTTACGGGCCGCGTTTACATACGAGCTGCGAGGAGGTGACGAACGCATTGGTCGTCTGCAAGCCTCTCGGCCTTTCCACCTGCTCTCCTCCTTGCCACGCGAAAACGCGGCGCATGCGCACATGTAACCAATCTCCGCCGGAGGCAACGTTGGCTGGAGGCAACGTTACTAGAACACTCAGTTGGGAAACTCCCATAGAGACAGCTTTGAAAAAGTGGCCCCAATCTGTCTCCGATCACCGAGCTAATGACGAACACAACACCACCATTTCTCCCACAGCGGCCACTCGAGGAACTGCACGTGACTTCTATTTTGGCTCCAAGAACAGATACAGCGGAAGACCGGAAGAGGTTACAGGGGTGCCATCTCCATCTCCCCGGCGGACGAGCCGCGTCAAGCTACAGTAGTTAAAATGCACCTAGGTCGGGACGCGCTACCTGAAAGGACCGCTGATGCATGGTTTTATAACGCGCCCCTCTTTTTGTACTAAACTCCAATAAATTTCATACAAAAAGTCTTTTTCGTTTGTTTTTACGCAAAAACAGGCTTTCAAAAAGCTCAAGGTGACCATAGTACAGACAAACGATAAAGAGTGGCGCTGTTGTCGTATTTAGCGCGGTCTCGGTGGACGCCAGCGGCCCAGGTTTCGACGGAGAGTTTCCCAACTGAGTGTTTTAGTAACGTTGGCCGGAGGCGTCACCATTAAATTGCGAACGCCCCCCCATGGCTTGAGGTGGATCCTCTCTACAATCTGGGCTCTCCGCTGTACTCTGATCACTCCGGTAGCACAGGTGGCGCCGGGCGTCGGGAAAGATGAGAAGCGCGCGAGTGACGTGTTCAATATCTTTTTTTAATTGTTGAAAGTTGTTTTTTTTTTTTTTTTTCACCGACTTTGAGGACTTAGTGAAAGCCCTCTAATTTGCTTTACTTACCTGTGGCCACCAGGAAAGTGGGAAAGGAGGAAAGCGGATATAGAAACTACATTTAGGTCTTAAAAAGAAATGTGGGGAGGTCATCCTAGGAAATTGGAAACCAAAAGTATGGCTGTAGCACCTCTTTATTTCTCACAATAAATGAGGCAAGGGAGTGCATATATATGACAACACCTGCTGCACATTTGCCATTATAAAAACACACACACATGTTACGAACACCTGTCCACAAATGATGATTCAAGAATCAGACAAGGTGGAGCATTCACGATTGCCAAAAAAAAAAAAAAGAGGAAATACTAAATGCCTATCGCTATCAACACCTCCACGCAGACTGACTCAAGAGCTTTCTACGCTGAAAAAAAAAGGGCTACAGCTAACTGGCAGTGCTACACCTACAAAATAAAAGTAGAGAAAAACTTCATATAAAACTCCATTTCCAACTATGCAATCACTAAAAACCCCAGTCACAAAGAACTTTGCCTGAAATAAAAAAAATCTTGTCACTCCACGATCTGCATAAAAAATCTTGCTTGCAATACTTCACGGGTGCACAAGAAACACTAGGGTTAAGATTTCTTCACCTGAACACTTTGTAGATGTCGTAAAAAGGTTACGAGAACAACCGCACCAACAACAGAGGCAATGTAAGAGAAGGTTATGAAGCTGTTTGGCATTGGCAAGAGCACAAGAACACTTTGCTCAGCTGCACCTTTTGTTGCTTAGCGGGACTCAAAGTACTCGCGAGTTGCAACGTTTTTATTAAGAGCATTACAAATGCTTGATATGAGTGCTTAGAATTTTTTTTTTTTCTAAGGGTAAATTATCTCTGTTTAAATCGGAACAAGCAGTCCCAACTCCCATTGCACTGAAGGAAAAGAAAAAAAAATTACATTCCTCTTCACAACCACTTTTACACGGGGCTCGGCCCTTTTTTAAGAACCGGTTAACCTTTTCTTGTTGAAGGAAAGTATACTTTAAACTTTGTCTTCTGCCACGTAGCTTAAGAGGAAAATTCAAACAACAGCAACCCCGACTGGACTTTAACGCCACCGGTCATTTGTTCGATCGACTGTCTTTCCTTGCAGCGCCACTCTGACGTACAATCGGCTGCCCGCTTGACGTGATACGGCATGGGGGAGAGTTGACAAGATTGAAGAAATGGGAGGTGGGGGGGGGGGGGGGCAACACGAACACGAGAACTGCATCAGCGTTGTTCCTTGGGTCTTTCCTCCACGATTTACCAAATCCCGCTCGATCTTCCGCCCGGTGGGTTGTGGACGCGGATGCCACTGCGCTGGCCCTCGCTGTCATCGATTTGTGCTCCTGGAGAAAATGTCGGGACAAGTTTGCGAGTAAGCAACATTTTTTACACAAGAACAAGATATCGCAATGTCCCGTGAGATGCCCCTGCCCCGAAACATAACCCACCCCCATATTTTTGGTCTGATTGGCTACTTATTCTTTATTATTATTAAAGGAGGGAAAGAAAAATTTATAAGATGCAAGTCGCTTGCCTGTGTCCACCTTTACTAATAACATTATTATATAAAAAAACTTATGTGTTCTCATAATGGTATATGTCTTAGCATGGCTTTCACGGCTGTGGAGAGCATTCAAAGATTGCTCTGTGTTCGTCCTGTAAACACTCCTTTTTTAATTAAGAGGTCCATCTACAGTCATAACAGAAAAATGTCGACCCATAAGATTCTAAAAAATCCAACCCCATTGAGTTAAAGGCCGATGACAACTTCGGCTTTCTGCAGGAAAGATAATCCTCTTAGCTCCCCCCCTCCTCCCCTAAAGTAAGGGAGCAAGCCGCGCTGGGGCAAGCTGGAAGGTGGAAAGGACATGAGAAAAAGAGGGAGTGAGGAAAAGTGGAAACTGCGAAGTGTACATCGGCGTCTTACCCAAATGCTCCCCCGCATCAGCTGCTGCTCCTAGCGCACAGGTGCGAAGTGCAGAAGCCCAATGCACGCGCCGGCACAATACAGTAAAGTTCGACGCTCGCACGCCATGCACGATCGTGCAATGCACGATTAGGAGCTAGGAACTACACGCAAAAATGAGACGAGCAACCGAGTTGGGGAGAAGTGCGTGCGAAACAACATAGGAAGAGATAGAAACATGAATGGGCTACTCCGGATAGCCGACTCTTACGTGCCCACCCGGGCAAAAAGCACGAGCAGGCATAGGCCACTGAGCCGCTGTCGGCGGCGTGCGACGGCAGTATTTTGGGTGTAACAACCGGAAAGGCAAACACAACGAACGGGAAACTGATACACACATTCCTACAGGAATCCAACAGCACCAGCAGTTGTGTGTGTGTGAAAACAGTGGAACCGAATGAACCGAGAACAAACAGAGGACTCTCTTTAATTCAATCTCTCTTATTTCAAACTCGCTGATAATTCAAACTAACATGCAGGTCCCGTCCTATGCGTTTATAGGAAGGAAACACCCGGTAATTCAAACTTTGCATTATTCAAACAGAGTTTTGGTCCCCCTTGGAATTTAAATTAACGAGATTCTACTGTGTAAACGAGGACCTTACGTGTTGTTTTCGGGAATAAGAGAGACTTTTCTCCATAGGGAGCCTCTTCTTCACTCTGTACTGAGCAAGGACCTAGATATTAAAAATTATTTCCACCACCGCAACATTGAAGACCACTTTGCACATTTGTATCCACAAGTTAACATGGAGCATAAGTTCACCTGTTTCTTGCGCAGAGGTTGCGATGATGTCAGAATGGCAAACTTTTACTGGTCGATTGAAAAAAAAAAAAATAGTGGGTAGATTTTGAGGGGTTTAGCACTGATGTCTACCCATCATCCTTTCAATCAAAGCCAATCAGAGCCCGGCGTTGTTCTGACGTCACCGCAACTCCTGTGCAAGAAGCAGACGACTTGCTCTTTGCATAGAGTGTTCTCTCGTTGTAAGCGGTCACGGGTTGGCACGACACATTCGATTGCGGTCAAACACAATTGTGCGAACCAGCCTTGAACGACGCTCAAATCCCGTCGCAGTCCAATTGCTCACCGGAGAGGCTGAAGCTAGAATCCTGGAGATTGCGGCCACCGCTGCGAGTGGGGCCCCTGGTGTGGAACTGCTGCTGAGAGGGTGTCAGCGGGCTGTAAGGGGTGTGGGGGCTGTTCTGGGCCCGGTATGGCGTCTGGCCTTCTTTCCCCGGCGTCACGCCGCCGTTGAACACCTGGTCGCCGCCCACGGGTCCCTGGTAGCCGTCGCGGTTCACCTTGACCGGCTGGTTTGCCTGTGCGGCGCAAAAGCGTCCCCGTTAGTGCCGAGACGTTTCGCCGGCACCCTCTCGTCGTTCCTTTCCGTGACAATACAACCGGGGACTCTAGACTCATTAAATGCAAAGTCAGGGCTGAGGGTCTGCGGAGTGCGCAGACTGGACTTTGGCGACAAAACGCGGCGGCGGCGCCGCGAGTGTCCAATCGGTGCGCTCCGTAGACTCCGGCCTAGACCTTGCGTTGAACGAGTCTGGGCACTCAAGACTCGCCTTGCCGCGACCTCGCAAGACGTGATCCTGGCCACTCACGATTCATTGCGGATGAGGTCTACGGCCTGCATAAAGGGGACGGTGGAAGTTTGCAGTCGCCACATTCTTAAATGAAGACCTTCAAAGTTGGCAGTCTGATATCATTCTTGTTTCTGTGGATGAAAATCCACTAAAGACGTCATATTGAGTGTCTGGCCAATCGTGGAAAATCTGACTATAACGCTTTTGGCTGCACACGTCGCCAATAGTCGTCGAAAGGATTGGAACGGCAGGGAAGAGTTTCAGTGGTCCCGCCTCCAGCACAAGCTACTTTCGATAACGCTTTGTCTTCTCACAAACCTTGAGTGCACATGCACAGCCGAAGTGAAGCCCGGCAAAAGGCAATTGGCACGTGCTGGAGGCAGTGCATGAAAGAGAGACGCCCAGCCTTTCTCATTCTATCGGCGACTATGGTCCATACTTGGAGTCGCAACATGTTTCCGCTTTCGCGTCCTTATCTCCTGCATGTACTGGAATGCCTTTTGCAGATGGTAGTAACAAGTGGGAATCGTGAAGTTATGGTAGCTACATCCTGCGGGACTGATATGAAGTTGAAACTGTTTTTTGCAAAATTTCAATTTGGGACAGATTTTTTTTTTTATATATATATATAATGATATTAAATGTTTGGTCGACAGCTTCGAATGCATCATATCGGGCTCATCAAAGCCATGTCGGCTTGTGCGACAGAGCCTCGCACCTCCTGCTCTAACTTTTTGTTTTGCATGTCAAACAACAGCTTGTAGAGAAAAAAAAGTACCATGTTGAGATCTGTTAAACATGGATGGCTCGCAATATACGAAACATTTTGGTTTATAAAATTTTAGTTGACACAACGATATAGTAAGTCCCTGTAGGTACGCACTAAACAATCAATACAGCTTGTAAAAGAAAGAAAAAAACTTAACAAAAAGACATTTATTTAGTCAACATATCAAAAGCCACAACTTATGAAGTAGAGTACTTTTTAAAGTCTTTCAATATCTACACATCCAATAATTACTTTAAAAAATTAATGTTTTTTTGTTTTTTTTAATTATTACATGCAGGGACAGTTTTTGATATGCATGCGGTAGCTGCACATTGCCAGTGCCACACGGAGCGAATCCTTTATCTGCAATGTAGCCGTGTTTATAGAAAATATTTATGCTGTTTTATTACAACTATAGTCGCAAGTTTTGCATACGGGTCACGTGTCTGAAGAATCATTCAACAGTAATAGCTTCTCCTTTCTAACCTTTCAAAACAAACAGTGAGGTGCGAGCGAGGAGTGACACTAGCTGTGCCTAAATCATGCCGAACATTGAGACCCTTCCAAACAATACAATTTCTTGATGTCGAAGCTTCTGGACATTGTATAGTGAGAATTCCAAAAAATTCCGCACCCTCTCCCTTTCGAAGAGGCAGCTGAAGGTGTGGGGCGAGAAAGGTGGGAGGCTGACGAAGCGTCCGGATCCCTCGCTGACTTTCAGCTGAAAGGAAGAACCAAAGCGATTGAGAGTCAGAACACCATTGAGCACAGAGCATGACACCATGCATAACAGTACAGTTTCTTCCCAAAGCTGAGAAGGAAAAACTTCCACTGTCTTAGGCAGTTTGCATGTGGCAGTCTCCACGCCACTTGATTCCAGTGGCAAGTCAAGTGCGTCTTATTCAGCACAAAAATCGATTAAGATGAAACGTCAAGCTTTGGGCCTCCAGAATACTGTAAAATCCCAAGCATGTGTCCATGTTACATAGAGTAGCCACCCATTACTTTTGAAATGTTTTAAAACTAAGCAAAGGGTGCGCAGCAGCATCGACTTTGTTTAAGCACCCACTGTTAACATTTTCCAAACTTTGAAATTCTGCAAATTGTACGTTAAGCGCCCAATTTGACCGAAGAAGTGCCCATGTCTAGATTAACCCAGTTTTCAGTAAAGATGGGGTGGATGCTCCCCCGGTATTTTACGGTACTTAGAAAAAAAATTAGAACGCAGCTCTTATACAACACATACGGAAACGATATTCTCCTGTAAGCAGCTGCAGAACTTTACTCTCGAATGGAAATTGCACTCCATGTTGGTCTCCCACATACCAACGATGCTCATGAAGCATGAGACGCCGATCAGGGCTTCCTACAAGTCATTGAAATAGAAATTTAGGAAATTTTCGAAACCGTCGCATGTTGAGAAGACTGACCTGTCCTTCCTCCAGAACGACATGCCCATGCGACACGACGCAGCAGGGTCCGCCGCGAACTTCGAGCCCCTCGAAGATGTTGAAGTCGGACACGGAGTTGTGGCTCTTCTTGGAGATGGACACGAGCTCCTTGGGGTCCCAAATGACGACATCCGCATCCGAACCCACCTGAATGCGTCCCTTTGGAGGATAGCAAATGAAGTGAAAGAGAACAAGAAGGTTGGAAAGCCCGAGCATGCCTCATCTTTCGCGGCATTGTGGCTGCTGCTTCGTGAAGGTCACACACCCGCAGACAAGTTTCTGTGTCTATGCAGTTACAGCTATGGGCGTACGGATGCTCGGTCATCTCGAGTGCCGATCACACCTATGCACATGCACTCTTCACTTCTTCTGAATGGCCACATAGAGTTGTCCACGAGTATATAAAGATAAGTATTTTAGGTGCGATGAATGCAGTCAATTCTCGGTTCTTGAAAGTTCTCCTTAATCAAGTAAATTTATGATGGGAAAATGTTTCTACTTAGTCAGTGTTTCTGGCAACGTGAGCATATTGTATACCTGTACCAGTATTAGCTTGTTATTACTTCATTGCAAAAAAAAAAAGTGGTATATGCAATTTCATTATCTTGATGTAGCAATGTTTAAACAAGTTTCTAGCAAGTGACCAGCTGCCTCTGTACAATTCGAAGTTGACTGCAAAGTATCTATAAAAACTGTTTTAATGATTCACTCTGATACAGGGACCTCATAAGAAGCATACACTGTATGGCCATTTCATTTTTACACCATTAATTGGTCAAAATATTTGTTATAATGAATTTGTCGCTCTGTGTGGAATATTCCAGCGTAAAGAACTGGTTGATCTGTCACAAAGTGGCACACCATGTGCCTTACAAACTGTCACACCAGGAGCGGGTTTACAAAATTCAGGGGGGGAATAGTATCTTACCAATCTTGAACTTCCTGAATTAAGAAACTTCAGGTGTGAATGAATAGGAGAGTATAGGAAGCAAATCAAGGAATGACAATTTTTGTTTTCTTAAGTTGAAGTACACTTTGAGTTTTAAGCTAAACTCAGACTGCTAGACACCAGATATTCTCATTTCACTAAATTGCCTCTTACCTTTTTAGGATACATGTTAAACAGCTTAGCTGCATTTGTGCTGGTGACAGCAACAAAACGGCAGGCATCCATCTTGCCTGTCATCTGAAAACAAAAAGAGCATAATTAAGTACAATATTTCATAGCAGTGATGTCAAGGCACAATCTGTCTCCTATTACAGCAATCATTCTGTTAATGCTATCTGAATATTCTAAACTTTTAATAATTCATAAATAGCATTTTCTATTCGAGTCGATTCGTAGCACACTTTTTCTGTTCGATGTAGGTAGGTATTCGAGTATACTTAAAAATTATGAATGATGTCTTCAGAATTTTCCAATTTCTCATGTCAAGCTTCATTGCTTTGCACATACAGTAAAACTTCGTTATAACAAAACGGGATATAACAAACTAATGGATATAACAAAGCAATTATAATTCCCCTTGCTTGAATGGATATAACAAAGCAATTATAATTCCCCTTGCTTGCTGTTAGGGAAGAAATGGACATTGGCCATAACAAACTAATGGTTATAACGAAATAATTACGACCGCTCCTTCAACTTTGTTATAACGAGGTTTTACTGTGTGTGCAAGGAATAATGGGTGACATGCCGAAGCATATGGGTTGGCTCGATGGACTTGGCCATTTGGCCCACTATTGTAGATCGACCTTCTTTGGTTACAACTGTAGATCTATCCCCAATTTTAAAAGACAGTGCTGGAAAATAAAATAAAATTAAGCTACATTAAAATAAATAGGGTAGTCACAGCTTTGCATTGCCATGTTCTATGTTGTGTTTTTCTCAACTATTCTTATCTGGTCATTTTTTTCGTAATACAAGTATGTGAAATATTTCTGATGTAACGAAACTGTTCCTCTATATGTAAACAGTCTTCAAGAAAAAAAAAGGAGAAACGTCTACTAAATGTAATATATTAGCATTTGAAAATACTTTAATTTGAATTCACACTCAAATTTAATATTAATATTCAATCCATAGTCAAAATGTATTATGTGCACACCTTTACTTTTTACGACTGATCTAGTCATTTTAATTTTCCTGCACGACAATCTATATGGTGCCTATTAAACTCGCCCAGACCGTAAATAAACCAAGATTATACACCACATGAGAGGTTCCTTGAGAGCTGGCGATTGGTATAACTAATAAAAGATATTGCAAAAACATGCTGTGGCATATTGCGACTGAGTTAGGAGATTGCATGCACCTAAGAACAGTATCCGGCTTTCGTAACATTTCTATTCGCAGGGTGGTGATAATTTTCATTTCTAAATCCTTGTCCAAGTGAAATTTCAGCTCACGGTAACATTTCACTCGGGCCATACTATTAGAAATACAACTGGGAAGGTAGGTTTACTTTGTGCCTTTGTGCAAAGTTGGAAAAGGTACAGAATGCAGCACAAACTGTACCCCGTTTAACCTTACGATCGACCACAGTGGACGCCACGAGCCATCAACCAGCCTAATGCCATAAGAGCTCCATGCGACCTTCCAGAGAAGCGCAGTGACACAGAGGGAGAGGAGTCGCACGACACATTCGCAGCGCCGGATAGACCATTCCAGGAGTTTGCGGCGCACTCGCCGTCCTCTTGGTGCATTACGACGATCCGATGTACGACGCGTGAACTAACTAAAAAAAGATGTTACGTTGGTTTTACATTTTATCGTTTCGCAAAGCAAAGGCGGCGAGACGACAGGAAAGTGCAGTGTGTATCAAATAAGTTGTGCATTTGTTTTATTTACTCCGTGTTGTGGAGTCACACGAATGAGGGAATGGATAGTGCGCGAGAACAGCCTCGCGCAATTCCCCGCGTCGCGCACCGCAATCTAGGATTGCCGTAAGGCCTTCCGTGATTTTCCGGAAAGGTCTATTGGCTGGGATGGCCCATCTGTCGTAGGGTGCAATAAAGTATAAATTTATTGGCACAATAAGTTGACCATGCAACATAATGGCAAGATCATACACTTATGCCACAGGAAAAAAAATCTACTAGTTAGTATGCCGCCGTTGGACGACCAACATACCACGCCCTTCTCCCAGACCACTAGCATTCTCTCCTCGACTCCGTTGACGCCGTGGGGAATCTTGGTGAAGTTGTCGCAGCCGACCGCCTTTTGCGCCATGGTGTAGGTGCAGTGGTGCGACCCCGTCGTGTGCAGGTCGCCACTGGAAGAAGACGGAGGGCATCATAGTTGTTGCCATCTTTGCCAGCAATGCTTTTTATAATTAATAAAAAAACTAGGAAAAAAAAATTTAAGTGTGATTTCAATGAATGCAGCATGTCTAGAATTTTTGGTCTGAGTTACATAAGGAGATAGTATCATTAAAATGACACCCGATTTAACCTGTTCTTCAGGAAAGAAAACCAGTCCCAGATATTTTTACTCCTCACTTGAAAAAAATATACCCATAGATTATGAAAACATAGAGCCCTAGATACAGTGTCCACAAGAGTAAGGCTTCAGCTGTTTGCAGGTATTTGAAGTTCTAAATGACTGATGTACCTCATACGAAATCTGAGGGACCTGTCTTCTATTCACATGGTCCTAAGGATGCCCAAAGTATCAACAGGGAGTCTTCCTAATTAATTAGGTTTTAAGCAAGCCTGGCTTTTCTTGTTAGGAAAAACCAAAACAAAAAAACCTCAGTTCATAATTAGACCAATGACACCACACCGTACCATGTCAGGCCCTAGCTTCAGCATTTGGACAAAATCAATGTGAATAAAAGTGAGCAGTGGATGTTCACAACCATGTTGACCCACCACGAGATAACCCTAGTGGCACAAATTATGAGCGTAATCTTTTTTGCTCGAAATAGGACTCTGTTTCAAAGGCCTAGAAGCTCAATGACTTCTTGTAGGCCTACACGCTCTAAATGCTATACGAAACCTTTACTAAAATGTTCTCTTTTCAATCGCCGCAAGACTCTCCGTTCGCTTCGTGCGTCCCTCATGAAATGACCTCCCATTGTTTGATTGAAAACTATCACTGTCATGACGTTGAGAAGCAGTGTCAAGAGGAAACGACACGGCAACAAGATTTGACGTACCATCCGAGGAGGTCCATCAGACGACCGGCTGTTGAGGGATCGGCGCTCAGAGGAGGCGAGGTCACGTGGGCAGCCGCGTGCGCCCAGCACTTGTTGAAGTAGTGGCTGCCGTCTGTGCCCAAACTGGCCGCGGTAGGTTCGCCAAACACAACGCAGCCTGGGGAACACAACATCCACTGTCACGTGATTACGCTCGTTCGCATGTATGCTGTAAAGTTCTCGAGGGCGTGAATGACATCGAGCAAGCTTCGACTAGCTCGAGAGCATGCGATGTTTCATAGCCTAGTTCAGTAGAGATATGAAGACACATATAGAATGTATTGAAACATTGCATTTGTTAGTTTGTGCAAGTCAAACAATGAACAACATTAATCTTTTTCCATTTCAGTGGAGCCATATGCACTAACGACTTTGGTCACAATGATTATGTACACTACGAAAACTGTACACTGTACGACACTGTTAGCGTGAACAAGCAATGAATACTAGTGCGGCTGGAAGGATTTGGGGAACTAATTTGAGAAGCCAAATTTGGTGCCCACCAATGTCGCTTCCAAGTAAAATGCCAAAACAAGCCAATGTCACGTTCATGCTAAGAGTGCCGCTGCACAATGTATGTGATCTCGTTCTAGTTATGACTGAGAATGATTTAAAAATAGTGTGGATGCAAATACGAAGAGGATTTAATGAAGTTCTTACCATCGTTGCGCTTTTTCACAATCACGTCGGCAGCACCCTTGCTCATGACTGGAGAGACCAGCAGGGGCGTAGACACCTGATTGGCCAGGACGATGGCACGCAGGGTTGCTTCTGCCTCAGCCTAACATTTTTTTACGAAGAATATACATCCAAACAGTGTTAAAACATGTCAGAAGCATGTTTAATTTGAAGGTGACATTTCTGGATCAAAACCTCACCTCTTCAGGTTGGCTGTAGAGCACACCTTCGGGCCCCATAATGCCAAGTGCCTGAATGCGCTTCTGGTTCTGCAAAAGCAACATGTCTGCCCCATTGTTGACCATGTGACAGAAATCATTTGCAAGCGTATAGCTTTTTAGCTTTATCGGCTGGATTAGTGCCTAGAGCTTCCTGTATATTGTTGTGGTAAAGTAAGTAAAACTTATAGCTCAGTCTGTTGAGGTAAAAGCCACATGGTACAAAAGGTGCAGCCTCTAGTGGCAGACTTTTGAACTACAATAGCAGGGAAGCAAATATAACTTAGAATCAGCTAGGAATTGCCGCAAAAGAGGAAGATCGGTTCATCTCATGCTTTGGTTTTAGGTAAGTGCCTTTGCACTTGAAACATTCTTCAATGCTATGAGGCCACACAAATAAATTGTGCTACATTGTATAGATTTACTTAACTTTATCAAGCATCATCAATTCATTAAATAAGAGAGCCCATGCTTCTCACAATCTTACACCTTTCATTTGTATGAAGTGCATGACTGCACACTATTTATTCGCATTGTATAGTACATACCTGAAGCTGGTGCAAAACATATTTCTATCGCCCTTGTTTTATGTCCATGTATGTCGCACCTGATGTGAATTCAATTGACGATACCAGGTATGTATGCATAAAAATACAATGCAGTGCAGCGTTCCTGAGAATACAAGGCTTCAAGTTGCACTAAACTCATATCACCATTCTACAGTGTGCCTGAAGATGTTTTTATAGCTATTTTATTGAGTGTGCCGGCTAAGTTTAGAGCACAGGTATAATCCCCTACAATAGTCGGTGACAAGTTAAGAGCCAAATTGATGCTCCCTCTCGAGTGTGAGGTCTTTGCCTTCGATAACACTTCATCGCATGTGCAGTCAAGGCCTGGCTGAAGGCAACGAGCACATAGGCTACTGAACTTGCTGCAAGACTTCTTGGGGAGAGGGAGAGAGAGAGTGAGAGGCAATTACCTCCGCAATCACCAGTCCATTTTCGGCATGGACCGTTGTCAGTGCTCCCAAGTGCTTGGAAACTTCCAAGAGGTGCACAAAGTCGACGTCGGAAAGCATCAAGGAATCCATGCTCAGGTAGGCCCTGAAGGTGTTGACCCCTGGAGATAAAACCACACATGCAATTAAAACGATAAGGGGTCCATTAATCATTGTTCTTTGATGAGTGTAACTGACCCCTAGCGATAATGAAGAGGCCTTATCAGGCTCTACGAACCTTTTTGGCAGCTTTGATGTATTGCAACTCCGTACCCATTCATTTATTCTTGAAAAAACTTTCGCAGATCCTCAACCGAAGTACAGCCAACACGGGCTCCACTGTCAAAATATTCAAGCTCATGTGCAGCTGAGAAGAGCTGCCAAGACATGCTGATGTGTCCAATAAACAGACAGCACACGCCTTTCTGTTCGACATTGGAGCTAAGCTGTCATACTGTAAGATACCGAGCAAGCACCAGCGCAAAAGTTGGAGATAATCACGAAAAAGTGAGGATGGGCACTTTTTAGTTCTCCACTTTTGATCCAGCGGAATGGTATAGTAGCAGCAGTGTAGGAGTCTAACAGAACCTATCATTTTTTTAAAGTAGCCACGCTGCTCTCATCATTGCGCTCTCGTGTCAAGCTTTCCCACTTCGCACCGATGCATGCGCATGAAGCTCCCCTTCTTCGCACAGCCTTCTCAAGAGGCACCTGACATGGAGAAGTACCTAGGTCAGCCCAGTGGGCCTATTAGTTTGCTGGAGTGGGCGCTTCGTACATGGCTTGCACTGCCGTCGCAACGAGAGACAATGTGTTGGCCTTGCTGTTGAGCGCGTATTTTCTGCGACTCAGATTTTGCACCGCCAAATTTTTCTTTTTGGCAAGGACATGTAGGAACGACCGCCAGCTGGGTACGATGCCGTCACGTGCAGGCCATGTATTGCAACATAGGCGCACGGCCAGTATTTTAAGCCAAGTTTGCGAAACTGCGACATGAACTGCACCTTTTTCCTTGACCAGAGTCTCCAGCTCCTCCTTGGTCTTGGGGTCGAAGGAAGTGACGGCCAGCTGGAGGCCGTAGTCGCAGCACACCTTCTCGTCTGCCCAGCTCTTCCACTTCTCAAAGGCCTCCAGGGGGGAGCAAGTAGTGTCCAAGACGCAGTCGACTGGAAGAGACCGTGAGGGGAGAGAGAGAGCAACGTTTGTTGTTAGCCCCAACGGAGCTTCCTCGACGTTGTCCTCATAGTTGTTACGAAACTGCCCTCAACCCCAAGGACGCTACAAGTTGCCGCAGTAACTCCAGGTCATTGGGTTTACAATAGCACGACAAGCTCCTCTCCGCAGAGCCCTCCACTCTTACCACTTTAGCAGAGCAAATGCTGGAGAGGAGGAAACCACCAATCGAGGCAAGGCAGGTGATCTGTGGGTGCTAGGGGCTTATCCTGCTAGCTTTAACCTGTAACAGAGCATAGTGCCGCGCAACGCCTATTTGGTATGGGACACGCTGGCCAGGTGGTGAAGGTCACGTCCCGACTCTGAGCAGAAAGCCGGGACATCTATGTTTATGAATTAGTATACATACTTTAAAACCAGGAAAACTAAAAATGGACCGGAAATGTTTTAAGGACAATTAGCAGAAAAGTTTTGGAACCACCAAAAAAGTATATTGGTCATTAGAAAAAAAAAGAAAAAAACATTGCTTTTGTGATTATGGAACAAGTACAGCTTTTAACGCTAACCCATATTTGTACATCCAAAGAAAAAATGTATTTGGCCGCATATCAAAGGATGCCATCTGCCCGTTTGCTGCTCCTTCTTGGCTCCAATAATCGTAATTACAAACCGAGGAGGTGCCACAAAGATAGCCTACAAGCAGATGCTAGTCTGTTAAGAAAGCTGCAGCAGAGACCAAACCATTAGCATAGCAACTTTATGATGCCGATTGCCAGCTAAACTCAGGTTGTGCAACTTACCGATCATGGTGGTTCCACCAGCCACGGCTGCGCGGGTTCCCGTGTAGAAATCGTCCGCCGACCGTATGCCGCTGGGCAGCGGCAACTGGAAGTGGGTGCTGACATCGATCCCTCCTGAAATTCGAATTCAACCCGCCCACCCAAATTCCATCTCTCTCCCTTCCACAGACTTTTTGCAGTGATTGCAGGCTTGGATCAAATATAATTATCATCATCATCATCATCATTTATTATTCCTTGAAGGCCCAGGGGGCATTATACAAGGGAGTGAACACTTCAAAAACAAACAAACAACACAACTATTCATCAACAAAAACACGCTGCAATCTAGTTATAGGTTAGAAAAAATAAACTAATGGCTGCAGAAAATTTCTCAGTGTCAGATAAAGAAACAATTACGTCGGCAGTAAGTTCCAGTCGTCAATGGCCAATGGTAAAGTAGACATTTGGTGAGTGACAGTTGACAATAAAATCGGCCGGAGTTTACAAGAATGGTCGAGACGAGGAAAAATGCATAAGGAGGCGATAGCAAACTTTGTCTGGGATGACTGTTGTCATAAAAGATCTGATGAAGAGAAAGACGAGACACCCTGCGGCGGTGAGAAAGTGTGTCAAGGTTAGCTGATTGGCGAAATCCTGATATGCTTGCGTAAGGGGAATAGTCGGAATAAATAAAACGGAGGGCTCCGCTTTGAACGGATTCCAGGTTGTTAGTTAGGTATGTTTGCCATGGTGACCATATGGAAGAAGCAAATTCTAGTTTAGTTCTGACCAAGGTAGTATAAGCAAGTTGTTTTACTGGGGATGTAGCTTGTCTGAGGTTACGACAAAGAAATCCGAGAGTGTGGTTAGCATCGGTAATGAAAGATGTTATGCGAGTGGTCCATGACAGGTCAGATGTCAGATGAATTCCTAGGTATTTATACGATGAACAAGCAGTTACTGGAATGCTAGAAAGGTGGTAAGAGGAGGATAGAACATGTGAACTGCAGGAAAAAGATAGCAATTTACATTTATTACAGTTTAAAGCCATTTGCCAATTATGACACCACTGAATTATAAGTTGGAGATCGTTCTGCAAGATTAGTTGATCGTGTCGCGAATGAATCGGTCTATAGATGACACAGTCATCGGCAAACAAACATACTTCAGAACTGATGCCATGGTAGAGATCATTAATGTAGATTAAAAAAAGAAGAGGGCCAAGAACGGTTCCCTGAGGGACGCCAGACGTTACTGTGCTAGTGGAAGATTTTACATTGTTAACAGAAGTGTACTGAGTGTGATTAGCAAGAAATTCAGAAATCCAACTGACTACAGAGGGGCGAAGATTAATATCTCTTAGTTTCATTAAAATATGTCCCTATTCTCACCTGGAATGACGAGTTTTCCTTTGGCTTCAATAGTCTTAGTGCCTCCTGGTATGGTGAGGTCTTTGCCAACTTGTCTGTAAAGGAAGGCATTGTTTTCTCAAGTTGCTGTGGGTTCCACTCCAAAACTAGGGTAAGTGAAGATGCCTATGGTACATAACGGGCTAAGAATTCAGGGGAAACTACTCTCACCCCTTTCCACTTTAGTGGAGAGGAGGTAGCCTCCTCTCCAGTGTTTGCTTTTCTAAAGTGTTCTAATGTAAAATTACTAGCGACCAACTCACTCGTAAGACCCTAAGCTTGAATACGCCAGCATTGTATGGGACCCTTTACCAAAAAAGATATAAATAAACTAGAACGAGTTTAAAGGCGGGCAGTCAGATTTATTTACAATAAATTCAAACGATCCGACTCTCTCTCTTCACTAATGCAAATAAACCAAATTGATTTGTTACAGGAAAGAAGAAAAAAGGCTAGGCTGAAGTTTTTGTATCTTCTTGCAAATGATAGGTTTTCTATTAATCGGCGCTCATACCTACAACCTGTTACTATGAGACAAACCAGACATTATCAGCCACACTTACTGGCACCTTACTTTGCTCGCACCAATCTTTTTAAATTTGATTTTTTCCCCAGAACAATTAGTGACTGGAATTCCCTTCCCACTCAGTTAGGCGTTTCCTCCTAGTTCATGACTTCATAGGTCCTCACTGCTACATTTCCTTCTGCACTGCTGGTGGTTTTTTATGCTATGTATAAAAGTTCTTTATTTGTACTTTCTGTCAAAGGTGTTGCTTGTATATTGTCATGTACGGTGTGTGATTTACTCTTTTTTATTCACTCCTGCTTGGACCATCTTGGTCTGCAGTATGTTATAAATAAATAAATAAATAGAGGGTGGAAGGAGCCTTCCCTGAACTTTTAACTTGTCACCGACTATAGACTACCATTTTCCGTTTCCTATGATGTCTATTTCTGTCAGAACTCTGTGTTTGCGACTGGTTTTTTAGTAATATTGTTTATTACTGGCTCTTTGTTATCCAGTCTTTACCGATGCTCTGGCATGGGTATGCATAGAGAACTCAGTTGCAATAGATGCATTATCACCAGTTCTTTCAGAAGATGCTGGTTCAAATATATGCTAGACGTACTGGAGGCATGGTACAGATCGACAGCCATTGTGAAGGACCATGCGGCTGTGTGTGTACCTTCTGCAGCATATAATTTGCACCACCAAATTTTTTTTTTTTTTTTTTCTCGGCAAGAACAAGTAGGAATGGCCATTGGTACAGTACAATGACATCACATGCAAGCCGTGTATAGATGTAACATAATGGTCTTTCCAAACATTTTGGTTAAACATTCAAAGTACTTGATGTAAGGTAGAGAAATTCGCTTTAAAGCTACAGTGCTCTGAGACTGCAAAATAAATTTCTAAGTAATTGGTATCTCCACTCACCTGATGATGCCATCTTCTATGTAGACGTCACCATCCAGGATCATGTCATCGTTGACAATCTTCCCACCCTTGATGTGCAGCCGGGTTTGGGCACTCTGCAGGGTAAGAAAAAACAGAAACACATATTTACAGTTTTTCAGTGTACCCAATGTAACAGGCTTGAAGATTAAAGCACATATGTCTGTGCCATAACGCACGCCACTCACGGCTGTTGTGAGCAAATGCAGGCTTGTTCGTAAACGTGTTTCCTACCTCTGAACAAAGGATGAAGTAAAGCTATGCGCACTATGTCGTGCACCTCGACTGGAAATGGCTATACGCACAACGCAAAACTGGTATAAAACGAATGGTTACAGTTTCCGAAGCGGTGGCATAGCTTATTGGTAAGGTGCCTGCTTCACACGCAGCAGACCCCGGTTCGATCCCCAATGTGGGCTTACTTTTTTTTTTTCTATAACATTTTTTTTTGTCGTTTATTTCGCGATTTTTACATTTCTTAGTTCGACGTGAGTGCGTTGGTGAAGTTAAATAAAAACAGAAAGAATAAACATAGGGACGGACAGAACAGCACCTCTGCTGTTCTGTCCGTCCCTATGCTTATTCTTTGTTTTTATTTACATTTCTTTCTTACGATTAGCAGTGAAAACAAATCGAATGTTGACGAAACTTCGCCGAACTAAATGGTATGGGCCTCCCTTTCCGGAGGTGCAATCGGGGAAGGACGCCGCGAAGCGGCGTGTATTGGGGGGGGGAGGGTAACATGCTTTTTACACCTTTTACACGCGCCGTCCGAAAACGGTGACCCAAATACACGGTCCCAAATAGCACGAGCTCTCCGCGTCGTGCGTAAAGCCATTTCCGGTGGAAATGTACTAAATTTCAACGAAAAAACTGTCTTCAATAAATGCTCTGATGAACACAACGTAATTTGTCCGTGAAGCATTTCAAAGTAAATTGTTTGAGACATTTGCTCTTGAGACATTTGCTCAAGTAGGAAATTTTTAAATCAAAATATTCGAACGAAATGCCCCATACTAACAGATATACAGCGATCAAACTTTTGCAAGTACAATGCGCGTCTGGTAGTGATACGTGTAACCTTCCACTGCCGCTTAAAGTACACATCCTTGCGCGCTATAATAATTAGAGCACCTTTTAGACCATCCCGCTTCCCCCCTCGTTAAAGCGAGATAACACTACCGTAAGTTCGTCGACCTGTCACTGGTTTCGGTGGTGCCATGGTCGGGAGCTAGGTCAGCCCGGCATTTGTCTCCATTATTAACAATCAAGCCCCTCTCTTCCTTGCTGCTTCTCCGACAGTTGTTACAGCAAGCCAAGCGAGACGACGTCCTTGCGTGGACGCAACAATGAACAGAGGAAGCCCGCCGCGTTTTTCGAAGCATTTGAGGCAGCAGCCACCAAGCGAGACGCGAACCGCGGGCCACGCTCACATAATACACGAGTGCACGCGCGGAGAGCACGGCCAACTTTATTAATCCCCCGAGAGGACGTGGTTGGTGGGTTGGCTGGGTTGGCGTTGTTCAAACATGGCCGACATCGTTCTTGAAGTTTCGGTTTTGAGAAGGCCATACATCAACGTACATTACATTAAATGCATCTGCCGTAGTTACAGGAGATGTAGTAAACCTTATGGTGGGAGTATTTGCGTAATATTTGGAACCTCTTGTATTGTTGTTTTTTGTTGTTGCGTCGAGAGTACGTTTTCAATTTATGGTGCTCTGATGAACGGGAAGTGAGTGCTGCGCGAAGGACATCCTGTGTCTCAAGGCCCCTGAAGCGTTTAATGCGCACGCCAATAGTTCAGGGCTTTCGGGTGCGAGAAGAAAAAGGAAACAGAGCTTTAGAAAACTGACCGTGCGTTCAGTTCAAAGGGGTAAGCTCTTGTGCTGCTGCATATTTCGCCCCGTGGCAAGTTGTACCACAATGCAAATGTAGCCAGTAGTAGCGCGATGCAACTCCGGGTATATTTAAGATACAACAATTTAAGACATAAAAGAACCACAGGGAAGTAACTCGAATGCCACCGCGGCCCTTTTCATTAAAAGGGGGAAAAACATACTTGGATGTATTATAATGGAAACGCCGAGACAAGAAAACGCCAGCTTTCCTAGGAAGAAATGTTTAGTTTTTGGTAAATGGCAAATATTGAGTCTCGAAAAAGCGCTTGAAGTTGACATTACCCTAAAACGTCCTTGACTCACACTGTGCCTACTAGCATCTCCCTCCCCCTCCCACGTACGCTCCCTCAACCACTGCACTTTGCACCTTGCCTTGCGCCGTAGTAGGCATATCTCGCGTAGGCGCGTGCCAATTCCGTACCGTCCCTGGGACCGTCTCGTATCTCACCCCAAGACAACCGCCAAGAGGGCACGTCTGTCGCAGCCCACGGGATCTCGGAACGCGGATAAGCGCACTCACAAACATAGTCGCCATCTTTTTTTCTTTCCTTATCGACAATGCATTTTCTCTACTCGAATCTCTATCTATGTGCTCGCGCGTTGTAACCCAAACGCGTTTTTTTTTTTTTTTTTTTTTTTTTTTTTTTTTTTTTTTTTTTAGGAGCAGCGTGAATGCCGTTAGTAATAACGCGCTTTATTTACTCCTTCCTGATCGTGGGTGCAAACAGAATTTCTCCTCCCTCTTTCGATTATTTTTAGTCCCTGGAATGTGTTTACGCAATGCAGTCGAAGTCGACATGGTAGGTATTGCTCATCCGAAGAGCATGTTCCTGTCACGCGCAAATACATGTTAGCCACTGACAGGCTGAGAACGCCAAGAAGTCTCTTTCGGAGGCCCGGGCTCCGACACGGGCTCGTTGTTTTTCAACGCGCCTTGGCTGCGTGTGCATGCTCGAAGTTTGCGAGACGCGGGAATGCTGTCGAAGGTAAGAACCTTGCGCTGCTGGAGGAGGGACAGCTGAAAGACCTCTCTGCTCTTCTTATCCTATCGGTTTCCGGGGACGGGGGGCCGGTCCAGATGTTGGTAACCGACATGTAATGACTGCCCGGATGTTACAGAAGAAAAAAGAAATGCGTTCCAAATTTTACTCGAATAAAGAATTTGAGTTATTCCAGGCGGTCATGTCACGTGACACAACAGCGGTGGCGTAGCCAGGAATTCAAGGGGCTGAGGTGGTTGGAATGTCCATGACCTGGTGTGTGTGTGTGTGTGTGTGGGGGGGGGGGGGGGGGGGGGTTCAAAGGCACAAAGGCATGTGGTAGGGCTGAAGAAGCCCCTCCAAATTGGCTACGCCACTGCGACACAGGCAGAGCAACGTTGAACGCGGGTGGGTTCTCGAACGCTAAAGTACAAAACTTTTACCCTAGAGAGAGATGGAATATATACATTTCAGAACATGGCCTACGACATCAGGTGGCTGATTTTATGTGACCGATGCACCTCGAGCCTGGAGGTAGGAGGACTTCCCCTAACGCTGACACAAACGTCGGACCGCACGCCTCCGCTTCCATCAATCAATATGTATTTGCACAAAAGAAAAGAAGGGAGCGCAGGAGGCGTGCACGGCTAGCGCGGCTAGCAGATATGTAAACAAGACTTACCGAAAGCATTCCAAGACGCTAATCCTTTCCGAGCCAGCCCACGAGATTCTCCTCTCTTTCCCCGCTCCCCAAGTCAAACAGGATACGCGGTCTGACCCTCGCAGCCTTCCTCCTTTTCGACGCCGATGTCTCCGAGGATGAGCGCAAACAAACAAGCAAACTATTCCGGATTTTATCGTGAAAATGATAACCTAGAGATGTATATCACTTTCACCAAATAAACATCGAAATATCGAGGAAAAACAAAACCCAAGTAACATTCTTCGTCCCCGCCGAGTTCGAACGGAAATAATCCACATAAACTTCGAACATAACAAGCACCTACATTCAGAATAGGAGTGGGTTTAGGATGGGGCTCGCGTGCTCGCCGTCGCAAGCGTGTGTCTGGAGTCTAGACCCGTTAGTCGTAGTTGTCGAGTGCAGCGGATGTCTCGTTGCGCAAGCTCTCGTGTCTGCAGTGCAAAGCGTTTCGAAAGGCCAGTCTCGACACAAGCGCCCACGCAAACCGCGCTCTCGGCGCTTTACTAGTTGTAGACATATACGCGCGTAAAACAACTCGAAATGTGCGTGAGAAAGATACAAAGGCAGAGAAATTCACTCCCAGATTCAGAAGATGTGTCGATGTTTGGATCTTCACGCGCGTGACGGCTCGCAACCGCAGTAACTTGGCCAGTGCTGTGTGGTACAGCACTGGCAAAGGGCAAACTTTGATAGCCACTGAATTGCCTCAAGGCCACAGACACATCTGAGGCAGTAACCCAGACATTACACCTCACAATAATTGTTTTTCGTGAAATTATTGCATTTTCGAATTCGGTCTGAAAGACTGTCAAATGTAATAGGTTCGCGGGGGGAGGGAGGGGGGGGGGGGGAGGGGAGGGGGGGGGGGGCAGTACAGTTCTCGACGCCCTTCAAAAAGTTTGATGGTGTGAAATCAATTCTGTGCAAGCTCACGCCAGTAAAAAGAAAAGAAAAAAAAAACGCAAAATAGTGTACCTGTTCAGACATCCGCGTATGACTGCGTTCAGACTGCTTGCGTCGAACTGCTGCTATGGCGACCCTTACAAACGAGCCAATGGGAAGGCGCTGTGCTGTGCCGACGCAACGCAGCGCAACGCAGTCGACGCCACTGTGTGAACGAGTTTATTCAACATGTCTCCTCACTCGAGGAGCACGGAAATATTTTGAACGTTGGTTTTGGCGTAACCTTCCCTCGCCGTTATCTCCAGTGTCACTTTGAATCTAGGCATAGGTACTAAATTAATCAACGGCTCACCGAGAAGAGTAAAACCTGTGTATCTCCTAAGATGTGTTAAGTTTCGATAGCTCGAAAACCCGACAGAGAAACGGCACGCAGAGTGCTGTTCATATCTCCTGGTCACTGGACAGCGACCGAGATTGCAGCCTCAACCCGATAAGATAAATCGCCAACAACATTGCAAAGTGACAACCACCCTCATATAGTGGGGGTGGGGGATAAAAGAAAATCAATACCATTTAAATCACGATTTGTATCATTCATGATTTAAACCGTGATTGAAATCACATCGGTTTCACTCTAACGATTTTTTTTTAAACCAACCCTTTCCCGAACAAATTATTATCTAAAATATATTTTTATTTGCTGTCTGCCAATCGTTTTATTTTTTCAATGTGCATGTATTTTGTAGAAGAAAACCATTCACCAAGCAAGAAAAGATATTGATAAGGCTGAACGAGTGGTGCTCTTTCGAAAAAAATTCATTTTTTTTTCTCTACTTTCCACTTTGTTCCTTAGTCAAATAATGTCGTATTGAAAGCATAAAAAAAAAAAAAAACACACGAAAGGGAGAAAGGAAAACAAGAAATACGTGCGCGTACATACACGCGCACACAGACCAGCAAGGAGAGAGGACTTGGACAGAAAAAGACCGACAGACACGGAGGTATGCGTCAGGTTGATCTTACATCGGCTAGTATAGCCGTTTCATCTTACATGATCACCGTCCCACCTGCTTTACGAGACCGTGCCGACTCCTCGTGCACTTCAAAACGAAAAGAAAAAGCCATTGCCGAGAGGAGACTCGCCAACTGCGCTCGCAAGTACAAAGGCCACGACTCTATATCGTCGATCTTACTTTCTTTTGACGCTTTGTGCGCTGTTGGTTTGGCCAAGAGACAGAGCCAACGGAGCACTCCTATTTTGCCTTGAGCAGGCCGCAGTGGCACCATGCAGTGACCACAGTGGCAGCCTGTGCCCGAAATCGACGGAAAACAGTGCGGCTAAAAGTTTTTAAGATGCTAAAAAATATATTGGAAGCTGGTTGGATTGCGTTTTGATTCGCTGATGTATTAAAGCAAATAAAATGTTTTCCCTAAGTAAAAAAAAAAAAGAAAAACCTAATTGGTTTTGTTTTAACAAAACGTATGACGTGGAAGAATAAAACAAAGTTATAAATTAAGCTCGATTACATTCACACTGAATTTCTTTTTTCGCTGTGTTTTCAACGATTCGGAGCATTGAAAAATCAATCTTCCACGCAAGAAAAAAAGAATATGTGTGTGTGTGTGTGTGTGTGTGTGTGTGTGTGTGTGTGTGTGTGTCTGTGTGTGTGTGTGTGTGTGTGTGTGTGTGTGTGTGTGTGTGTGTGTGTGTGTGTGTGTGTGTGCGTGCGTGCGTGCGTGCGTGTGTGTGTGTGTGTGTGTGTGTTTTACCTAGTAATAGGAATCGTGAACTTAAGAAACATGCGATTCTAAAGTTGTAAGCGACCATTATAGAGCTCCGCAGCACACTTCCTGCGTTCACTTCTAGGACGACTTCTAGCTACAACATAAAGGTGAAAAATAATGTCCACTTTTATGCGCTAAGTGTGTGAATGCATGCGACCTTGGAAACTTCGATTTTGTCATTAGCGTTCTGAAACAATCTCTTCGCATACTTTCCTCCAAAGTGAACATGTATCTTGTAGAGAAGAAATCACGGAAATACTGCCATTTCTAGACTAGCGCGCATAATTGCCATTTCTAGACTAGCGTCATAATTGAAAACCAGCGAAGTTTTCGCGTTAGATCGGCTGCAAACATAGCAGGCTGTGCCCAACCACTCATAAACCTTAACAGCAGTTTTTTCTTTTTTTTTTATAAACTTAAAAATAATTAAATTAATGGTATCAGTTAGTTGGACAAACCTAGCATCAGCTCTGGGTGAGTATAAATAGCTGGCAGTGCTAGCGTATAAACTGTGCAACATACCTTCGCTTAGTGCACAGGCATTACTTTTTTTCTTCTTGTTCAGCAGCATTCCGACGACCTCCTGCCATTGTGTGCAGCAAGTGTCATCACAAGCGGATACGGAGCAACGCCGAAGTAATTCTCCATTGTTGTTTCATTCACCATTTTTTTTTTTTATATTTGTTACATTTTGCAGAAAAAACAAAGAAAAAAACAAGTACACAAACTACGAGAAACAAGACAATGCCGCAAATTTAGCGAGGTATAGTCATCGGTCCACTGCGTGCAGGAGCGCCCTCCGCTAAAGAGTCGGGCCCCCCGGCCAAAACACAGAAAACAACACAAAACGTAATGACGGCGATACAACGTATAAAAGAAATGGCCGCCGTTCCTGACCTTGGGAATTTCGCGTAACGTCGCGACCGTGTGAAGAAAAATGAAGGCTCCAGGGGGCCTATGGATGTGTTTGTTTGCTATTTGATAACAGCTTAACGCTCTTTCATTTTTCTTTTTATTGTTTTGCTTATCAGCCTCGACGAAGTGACATCCTTTTGATGTAGCGCGCTGCGGTCGGTTCGGGCGTCCCGCGGGCTCGTTGTCGTCTGCTCGTTGCCGAAGCAGACGACGCGCCCAATAACGTCGTCTGCTGTTTTTTGTGTGTTTGTCCAACGAGGAGCTATCTCTTCGCACGTTTGGCGCACTCGTAGAAGACGACCTTTCTCACGTCGATCTGGTGGCGAGCTTGCTTTCTTGCTGCCTAGTTTTCATCCCTTATTTAGGACGCAATTAAACTGATTGCGCTTCGAAATTTAGCAGGAAGGCGGGGATACCATCACACGCTCGTTACTCATTGCACGCGCGCTGTTAATGGAGGCAAGCGCCTGTCTGGTAGTAGCTAGTGCGTAGAAGCTGTCCTGTTTATGTATTTCTTTATTATCTTTCCGGTCTTTTTATTTTTTTATTTGTCAAGTCTTAGGACCTGCCAACCGGTTTGACCCCGGAAAGCCAGGAGGGTCAAGCCCATAGGCGTTCCCTGCGGGGGGGGAAACCTTAGAGAACAACCTATCGAAGGGGTTTTGGGATAATAAAGATGTCACTGATGGGTTCGACTCGGGGTGGTCTACGGATCTGGCTAAAGATGCATAGCGAACTGCAATGCCACGCTATGCCGACCTTCTTCTTATTGCGTCCATTGTGTTTTTACGGAAGGCGAGCCGAAGAGAAGCACCTGCTAGTCGAACAATTCTGTTTTCGTCGACGACGCATGCACATTGCAATTCGCCAAGGACTCAGTCGCGTATCGCAGGTGCAACTTTCATTTTCTTTTTTCCTTCAAAATTAGGTTGCTGTAATTTATACATGATACAGCAGTAGTCCGCTGTGAAAATGCGTATGTGTACGAAGTATTTCAATCGTTGCGGCAGATCACCTACCTTTACATGTACATTGACTTTTTGTTCTTTTTTTTTTTTTTAATCAAGTACATGCACACCGAAAATAAAACGCCCCAGAAATGCGGAAGTATTACTTTTTTTAACTACAAACACAGGTGCGGACTAAATATAACATGGTCACATATTTAGTTAGAAACCACGCCATGGCTCATATATAGGCCGTACATTTCCCTGTTTTAGTCGAAAAACATAGATACACATCTGTCGGTTTCAAAAAAAAAAAAAAAAATTAATAAAATTTAAGAACGACGGTAAAGATTCGTGTCGAAAATACAAAATCGGTTGAAACCAAAAAATAGGAATTTCTGGAGATGTCTTTGCTCCAGCGAAGACTTTTTTTTTTTTTTTTTTTATCAATACACTTTCCTTTGCGTGGGATGTTTTCACAGCCTTAGCATCCGTCCAAAACAGATCACCAAAAATACACCGATATTTGTAGAATAAATAAACACCGAAAAACATGGGCGTGCCAACCGGGGGGGGGGGGGGGCAAGGGGGCGCTTGCCCCCCCCCCCTCCCCCCAGTTCTCAGAGTGAAGGGGGGGGGGGGGCAAGGCATTTGTCCCCCACCCCCCTTGAATCAGCCGCCACTGGGCAGGGGCGAACACTGTCCGCCGGCGCCCAAGGGATACCAAGGGCACCGCCCCCCCCCCCCCCCCCCCCCCCGCCCTCTCAAAAACAAGTTGGTACGCCACTGCCGAAAAACACCTGCCGATGGAGTTGTTACAGGGGTACAAAGCACCCAATTCAGCGCGCGCGAAAAGTCTATAGACATATATATATGAAGCTCTGCGTTATCGCAGGTACACGTTGTTCCGAGGCTTATCTGTGCGTACAACGCGAAAGGATTATCGGCCTCTCGGCAATGCAACGCAACGGAAATCTAACGCTTTCTCGCCTACGATTATGCGGCCGACACCAACGAACCGCACAATTAAAAATGTCCATGCAGTAATTATTATAAATATTTGCTTTGGGAAGTTGCGCTTTATCGGAACTATATTAAAAGTCCCGCTGCTATATCGCTCGCAACCAATATATGGGCGTTGCACGTTGTAAAACGGTTGTAAAGCTAGGGCTTCGGCATCTGGCGCGTCGTAAGCACATGCGCGACGACGCGCAAGCCATGTTATTGATCCAAAAAGGCGCTTCTACCTTCAAGTGAATGGGAAGCTTCTTTCCAGGCCTCACTGGATCCATGGCTAGTCGGGTGATGGTGGTAAACGCGCCGCTCCGATGTCTTCGTCGACTCTGTGTCCTTCAGGTTAGATGAGCAGAAATATCGCAGCTTCGGCGTGTGCGCAACGCAGGACGACTGTTAAAGTCCACAGCAGGTGTTCATCCGTCGGCACATCACACAACTTCGACGCAAATATTCTTTTTTTCTTTTTTTTTTAGATGAGGCGAATTGCGATGGCTCGTACAGACAGATGTCGAGTTTAGACTGTCTGAGGTTTCCGGCGACGATATGAAAGGGATGCTTGAAGAGGATGCGTGGAGAAGGCCGATGGGGAAAACGGGGCGAGCGTCTGCTTGAGTACGAGCGGCGCTCGCGAAGGAGAACCACCTTGCGATATTCTCTTTTGGTTTTTCCAGTTTCTGTTTGCACGACTGGGTCAGCCGCTCGGGAGTCTCTCTGCTCGGCTCCGCGGAGACGCGCTCGTTGAGATGGTGGCGCCACGCGTCGTCGCGCAGTGCGGGTTCCTGGCGCCGAGGCTTTTCTGCGCGTGTCGTCTGCTAGAATTTGTCTGCTGCGCGTTTCGCGTGCATCGGAGGCACTGTTATTCCCGTGAAATCGTGCCCTTGGTGCGTTTTCAGACAATTGATTGCCATATAAAAGAGGATTTGTTCCATACTATAGTCTATAGGTGACTAAGAAAAGATTACAATGCACACACATAATAGCACAAAATTGCGAACCGATGGATAGTGTCCAAGTTGGTTACGCTCTGATATTTTTCTATGCCCAGTCTCAGGTTAATCCAACATGGTTAAGGTTCACCAGCTCGCCTGCACCCTTACGATATTTTCTTTGATATTTTTCATTTTTTAAGGACCCTGTATGAAATAGACACAAATAATCTATTTAATAGGGCCTCATCCCCTCAGCTCCCTCCATCTTTTGATTTGTTGCTCGAGATTCAAGTTTGTCCTTATCTAAGTAAGTGTCCGTGGTAGAGCGTGATGATCACGTCACTTTAGGCTTAGCGATACTTTCCGTCGTATTGACGGGAAGTTTGCAAGTTATGGTTGCGGAATAAGAAACATAAGATACTTATGTCCCTTTTATTTTTATTCCGTGGGCTTTCATTTGTCATGTTAGTGTGTGGCGCTATATATAGTCTGTTATCGCTGGCTACCTACCTCGCCCTCACGTTTGTGAGGACGGGGTGGCCGCATAAAAAAACAACCGTAAAACAACGCTATGCGTGGCTCCGCTCAACGCCAAATGTGTGGAGTCTTGTTTTTGTGGGCGCTAATCTCGAAAAAGGGGGTCTGACGAACGCCTCTCGCTTATCGTGACGTCACAGAAATGATACGTTTCTGCTGAGCGGGGTAGTGACGTCATTCCTTTCTGAGAATGTGGGAAAGGGCGGGAAGGGGGGAGGGGATGGGTCGTCCTTTGGCGTTGTCCACTAATACTGCAATTTTACTGGCTAAAAAGCGATAACTCTGTTCAAAAAAGAAAAAGAAACTCTGTTTAAAGGAGCGGTGCAACGATATTCAATTTGAATGTTTTTTCACTTTACACGAGCATACTGCACTAGTGGGGCTCAACAATACTCGTAGGCACCGCCACTGGCCAAGAAACTCCTTTGTTGCGGTGTAATTTCAAGGACAAAAGCGATCATTTTCATTGAATCTCTCCTTTGCCAAATTGAATGACGTAACGTGGGGAGCGCAGTACACCCCGATGACGATATTTGAATGCGGTTTATAAATTGGGCCCCAGCAATGCGTGGGAACTCGATTTGGGCTCGTGATAATTACTAGCTCGAGAAGCATTCGGGTAGAGGCCCGTGTCCAATCGCTGCAACGACGACCATAGCCGAGCCATAACATTGTCTGGAACTTAGCGCGTGTCCTGTGAAGAACGAACGCGTGTTTCATAAGTCATCAACGTGAGCGATCCGTTCTAAGCGGTATTTGCGCAAAGTACAAAAATCGTTGCATCGCCCCTTAAACACACTTGTATTTGTTTTTAGCTTTATTCCAATAAACTAAAAGCCTAACAAAAAAATTAAAAAGGCCATTGCAGGATTGCAGTCCCCCTTGCTTTTATCCGCTCGCTATAAGTATGATCTGTGATTGGTTAATTTGTTGGTTAACAATAATTTAAATTGGTTAACAATAATTTTAAACAAAAGCAAATATTGTTTAAAATTATTGTGCACCAAGGAACCTTGATAATAGCCTAGAAGCTTTCCAGACATGCTCCACATATACGTAGAGAAAATCTAACCCATTGCTAGGTAAACGACATATGAAATTGATCCCTGAAAAGTGTATAGTTATAAAGAGCACCTCTGCAGAATTACTTTTCTAAACTGCTTTAACAATTTCTAAAAAAAAAAAAAAAAAAAAAATGGAAGACAAAAAATTGCACGCTGGCCAAATACAAAAAAAAAAAAAAAAAAAAGGGAAGGGGAACACTTTTGATTTATGCTTTTGACACCGCAACCAGTGGCGTAGCCAGGATTTTATTTCGGGGGGGGGGGGGGGGGGGGGGGGGCGGGTGGGCGGTCCAATGGCATGAATCCCCCCCCAATGACGAAGCAAGCAGGGTGAGCTTGGCGGTACGGACGCTCACGCAAAGGTTGGCGAGGCGCTGTTAAAATAAAACGGGTAATGCTGCATTATCTTTTTTGAAAACGTAGCAGGCTTCATTTACAGAAATACGGGCGCAGTGACTCACTTTTTACTCTCGTCGTAGTTGCGGCCCATTAACTTTAAAAGCTTTCACACAACCCCCCCCCCCCCCCCCCCCCCCCCCCCTGTTTCCCCTTCGCTTTTTGAGGTATAGCACTCTATTACCTACATAGCCTGTCTGGTACTGGGTAGGGCAAGAAGTGCCGATTGGGCTGGCCTGGCGGGCCATTCCAATTGGCGGGCCATTCCGATTGGCGGGGCCATTCCGATTGGCGGGCCATTCCGATTGGCAGGCCTGGCGGGCCAATCGGAACGTGACTACATATCACCGAAGTGCGCTTTTACAGCGAAGAAGTATGAGGCTTTTCGCTGCGTCATGCTCCAATATGTGTGCGTCACGCTTGTATACGTAGCGGATATCGAAGCCCTCAGCACGGATTATGGCGCTTATCGTTCACCCCTTTGCCAAGTTACACCAAGGCAGGGTATAACCTTGGGCTCTCACTCTACTGGCGCCGCCTGGCTGTTACCGACAAAAACAATTAATAAAAAAAAAAATCTCGGCGCTGAAAAATTAGAACAACCGTAATCGCACAAATTCTGAACAATCACAAAAATAAAATCTATTATCTATTAAAGGTTTAAACGAATTCGTGCTACAGAACAAGATGCCGAAGGAAAGAGAGTCATATTTTTGCTAGGCCGCTTTATCTTGCAGTGTGGTCTAAAGGCAGCTGCATATCCTCGGGGCGATGAGAAGTCGTCAGTCCGAACTCGTCGTTCCGCCACTCGAAGAAATGACACCACACGCCACACACAAACACGCGAACCACATGCCGAACGTGGAAAAGAACTTGAATACTCTTGCGCCTATGCATAGTGAGAATATGAAGGCCCTTCAGAGTTTCTGATGTTCCGTGCAACGAAAATATTAATCTAATAACGAATCGCATCGGGTGCCACCTCGACATGCAAAGCAGAAAGCTAGACGGACTTCGTCGCATCCGTGAGCGACCATCGAGACGGGTGTCTCGATGGAGGGAAATTTCACGAAGTGATGGAACCTTCGCCGAAAATGGGGAAATTTTAGGCGTCGAATGAAAGAGGGAGAAACACGAAACGCCCGTCACGTCTGCGCTACAGGCGGTCGCCCTCTGTCCGGAGGCCCTATTCCCAAACGCCTATCGTCTCCTCAAGATCCTAGCGACTCTGCGCGTAAAAACGGCGGAAGCTGAGCACTCGTTCTCTTCACTACGACGGTTAAAAACATACCTGAGAGCATCCATTTCGAATGAGCGACTGCTTGGGTCTAGTGCTTTTGGATGTTCACCGCGACATTGAAGTTCAAGCGGTGAACATCCTGGATATTCTTTGCCGTGAACGCAGGCGGAGCGCCTGGCAGAAATTAAATGACCAAGAGAGATTGTAAATTGCTTTCTGAAATAACTAGTCAGTTACTTTTTTATTCGCGGTCATTTCTAGCCCAAAGCACGTAGTTCTGATCAGTACAGAAGGTGTGCCTGAGCGCAGCGCCAACCGTTGCTTACAGTGCAATGGTTTTTAATATTAATTTAATATTCCTTATATCACTGACATTGTTTTATATTTATCACAATGGTGTTCGTTTTATTATGTCCACTTTAGTTTGATTTAACTATGCATTTGAATGGGGATAGTTCGTTATACTTTGCCTTGAAATTGCCATCCTTCACCACACAAATGTTTCGAAATATCAAATTCCGCATCCCATCAAATAAGCATGATTGAAGAAATATGGACTATTTTATTTCTTTGAGCATGTTCTACCCCACAAACATTCCTCCCGAAAGCATATAAGTTGGAGATAGTCCGCGCTCCCGCTTTGCTCCGTGCCCCGTGCAAGACCGACTGCAGGGTAGCGAGCGAACCCAATGCACCGGTGTGCGTGTGTGTGTGTGTGTGTGGGGGGGGGGGGAACTGGAGGGTAGCTTCGGCATTTCGAGGGGTGTTTCGACCCCCCCCCCCCCCCCCCCCCCCTTGCCTACGCCACTGAGCGCAACTCATCATAATTAACATTTGAGCGAGGAACGGCGAAATAAGAATTACGATGACGTAACAATGCGTCCTACTGTAGCTTTTTTCTTCTGCCATGCGCACGCACGCACGCACGCATGTAAGCACCTGGCATTTCAGTCGAACTCTCGTTCCAAGTTTCGATGAGGGAAATACTATAGACCTTTTCTGTGTACTCTCGTCCCCAGCAACCTAATAGGCGTATCCGGTATGGGCGATGAAAAAATAATCGAACGTTTCAACCTGCAAATAGTAAAAAAATAAAGGGGAGGCAAAACGAGAAAGTATGACGGTTACGCTTATATCCGAAATGTCTTCTATTGGCGTGGCAAAGGCAAAACAATGTTTTCGCCCATACTGGAAGTGACGTCAATTCAAGATGGCGGCGCACTTGCAGAAAAGGTCTATACAGCCCCGTTCCAACCTGGGTCAGGCCCAAGAACCGAAGAAATATGTTTTCCTCTTGGCAGACCGCACCCCTCCGGCACAACAGTCGCGGATGCACTTGATTTAGGAGTCACGGTGTAGCCACCCACGACGATGTTCTATAGCTCAACCATACACGAATGTTTCGGAGTTTACAAAAAAAAAAAAAAAAAAAAAACAGACGACAATTATCCAGAGTTGGGCAAAGTACATATGAAAAGTACTTGAAGTAAAGTACAAAGTAAATTAGAGGTTTTGTACTTCAAGTAGCAAGTACACCGGGTACAATGTACTTAAAGTAAAGTACAAAGTAAATTTGATA